TGTGTGGTGCGGGCCGGGCAGCTGCGCGGCGCACGCAGGGCGACCAGCGAGCGACCACGCCCCATCCAAGATCCACCGAGACCGTGTGCTCCTTCAATCAATTGAACCGCAAGTCCAAAAAAAATCGTTTCCTTGAAAAAGATAAGGAAATTTTGCTCTTGTTCCAAAGAAATTACTTTGGTTTACCGACAAAAATTCCTTGAGTTAAGGTTATTTCTTCAAAGTAAGGCAAATGTTTCCCAAAAGAAAATACAAAAATTCGTTGTTTATAGCAGGTCAATTTTGTTCACAACTTTCAAGGAATTCCCTAGTTTCAAGGAAACGATTTGCTGGGTATAGTACATTCGATCTAGACGACGAAGTGAGTACAACCTTCTTCGAGTACTTTTCGCGTAGCAGGGCCGCAGGCGAGGCGGGCGGTGGCGAGGCGGGCGGTGGCGGGGCGGGGGCAGGGTGAGGTGGGGTGTGGCGTTCGTCGTTCGTGGTGGAGCGAGGCGGGGCGGGGTGGGACGGGGCGCAGGCCGCGCCACACCCTGGAGATGGTGTGGACTTCGGCACCCTAAGTGTTTACAGGATAATGAGCCTGCCCCCAAAGGGGGGCGGGGCTGGCCGGGCACTGAGCCCATCGATACACGCTCTCCTATTATTTGTTTTACCGCACTTGCACCTACCCCCCTCCCTCCCCCTCCTCCTTCACCAGGTCTCTAATTCCCTCGACCCATTATATAGGAAGCGGCAAAATCGCCCTCAAAAACAAACAGTGGCGAGAGCGGGGTGGACCTGCCCCGGGCGCCGATCAACAAGTAGTTTGCATTACTGCCAACCAGCCCTCCGTGTTTATTTATTTTTCCCCAGGGAATTCTGCGAAAGCGTTCCGCAGAATGTAGACGTCATTCTCTGGGCGCCGATAATTGTGAGACCAAATCAATAATTGCGCGTTTATGCTCTCTTACAATCTGGTGGGGTTACACAATGAAGGACTTAACGAAACCAACAAAATAAATTCAAATCAAAAATACATCATTTTTAAAAATGAAGAAATGATGCAAAAAATTGTGCATTTGTGAAATAATAATCAGTAAGACGTTGGTTCAAAGGGCGTTTTGAAATAATTTTCCGAGGTGGCGATAAAGAAATCGCTGCGAGACCTCAACGCACTGCGCACCCGTTCACCTTCACACTAAATTCGTATAGGTACCATTTACACATCGCACAAATACGTACGAAAAGTAAGCTATGAATTGGTACCTAAAATTTATCTGTGTGGTCTGCTCCAAGTAGGCAATAGCTCTCAAATCAACCGCTGATAACGTGACACATCGCTGTCCGCGAGTCCGCGAGTGCCCCAAGGTTGGGGTGGGGCGAGGGGGACTGCTGCTCACGTCAACAACCCTGGACAAGCGACATGTAACTTATTTGATGTGGCGAAATAACAGCGTAGTTGACTGGCTGAAACGCGTGCAGATAGTGTCAACTGTGCCGTTCTTTCGTCATAGCACTGCAGCCAGCCGTCTATAACCTACTGAACTACCTACTGAACTACTGCAACCCTGTAGAGGTTAGGTTATGTTATGTAACGATACATTTGGGAACAAATAAGCAACGATCGTTATCTATGTATATTTAGCATACCTGGCATGTTGATGGTTGAGACAAGGTCGTTGACGAAGAGCTCTTGTCGCTGTGCACAGTTACACTATGAAACACCCCGGGGTCTCAGAGAGGCGGTGTTGGTGAAGATTGTTGAATCTCTTGTCGCGCACTTGCCGGAGCGCCACATTTCAGACAGTAAACGAGAACCAGATAAACTCTGGAGATAGTACACTGGAGAACACACTACTAATGTCTTTAGGTTTGACACGGAGTTCTATAAATGCAACCACACGACGTCCTTTTGCACGCACATTCTCCACCACAACACAACACTCGACACGAGCGCCACCGCCACCTGGCGAGTGCGGCGGAAAACTATACTATCCGGAGCTCGGAACGGAAACGAAACTGCGGACAGCCGAGCGCGAACACAGACTCGACGTGTTAACGTGACTAATGAAGCCCATTCCACATGACCTCTGTAGCCATGAGAAAGTGAGAACGTAACGCAGGAGCGCCCCTGCCCTGCCGTAGGGTGTAACGCATGTGACATCCGGCCCGGTAGCGTTCAGCAGCGCACCTTCAATATGTGATTACTGGCGGTCCTCCCCGGAGCCAGCAGCAGGTAACCCCATGGGAGAGGTCAGGTGCCCGCCCCGCCCCGCCCCGCCCGGCCAGCAGCCCTTCCGGTGTTTGATCGGTTTGTTCGATCCCGACCCGTCGACGTATCGATCCTGGCGCCCGATAGATACTCGCCTTATCCCGGGCGCCAACCCCCATACTCTGCCCGGAAATTTATTTTCAGGGTGCTTTTTTCTTTGGGATTGCAGAGGATGAGAAGAGAGGGCCATCTGATTCGAGCAGATAAACTGGAGCCATAAGACCGTGCGGCGGCGGCGGCGGCGGCGGCAGGACGATCCCGTGGGAAGCAACAAGTGCACTATGCGTCTCCCGTTGCACCCCGACCCAGACTCCACCGGCCACGACACGACTCTGGTCGCCGTGGAGACGGAAACGTTTCGAGAAGCGTCTGCTGCCTACCCGACAGGCGCCGGTTCAGGACAATAACTAAGCGGGAACTGGAGAGCAGTCGGAGAACTCACCGCCAAGCCTTCTACGTCGCATTTAAAGGTTCTACCTTACCACCCCCCTCACCCCTGATTTCGGCTGATCTTCTGATCTAGAAGGCATGAGCTCCTCGATCCTCTTATACTGAGGGTAGATTCAAGCAGGTTTGTAGAGGGAGAACAGGGTCGGAGCCGGAGGTTGGTCATTCCCCCTGTGGGTAGGGTTTTATCTGTTACTGTTGTTCCAATGATGCCCCATGTGGCTTTCCAAACTTGGAAAGCAGCAAAAGGAGAAAATATATACGTGTCTTTTGAGGTATCATCAGCTAAAATAAAAACAAAAGAAACGAACATCGTCATGACGGAAGAAATATCGCTTGAATGAATGAGCTTTCATGAATGTCGTAATCCAGGCTGCAAACAGTGGCGGGGTGCGTTTGCCCACAGTAGCTAACTGCTACCACCGACGACAGTACGGGAGAGGGAGAGAAAGAGGGCGGGGGCGGGGGGGGGGGGGTACTAAGAGGCGATGTCCTTGCCGATGTTGGGGACCCACGGCGACCCGTTTGGGGGGGCCGACCACACAACAGGGCCGTGCGGCCAAAACCCCATCCCGGTCGGCTGACAACTCGCATTAGTGCGCCAGGGCGAAAGAGACAAAGGGCTTGCCGCCCGAGTGAGTGTGTGTGTGTGTGCTCGCGCACGTGTGTGTGAGTGTGGTGAGTGTGCATGCGTGCGGTAGGCTGGCGGGCGGGGACCGCCGACGCACACACACGCACACACACGCACACACACACACACACACGCACGCACCAACCCCCTCAAAACAAACACAAATTGAATTAGTTTGTTATGACGAGGACCGGGCTCCTCGGCGGCCCGCCGCTTGATGAAGATGACAAATTGCACTGACGAAAAGACGATGAAGACGAAGGGTTGGCGCGCGTGGCGAATCAAAGCTGCAGGGGGACCCCTCTCGTTGCCTTCCGGCCCTGGGGACCTACCGCGCGCCTCCTGCGGCCGGGCGGCGGAGGGGCGCGCGGGCCCCACTCTTTTTGCAACGGCCGCCAATTTGATTTTGCGCGCGAAGGCGATTTCTTCATTTTTTTATTTTTTTTTTCATGACAAAGCCAGAGAAGGCAAAGCAGGAAGGCGGATTTCATCGGAGGTGCGTGGCGCAGAGGATCTCGAATGACGGCGCCTTCCCTTCGCGCCCAGGACTCTTAAGTCATTCCAGATATTACGAAACGACGGAAATCGGTTAAACTGGCTCGCTTTGTGAAAGCAGCTCTTCTTACACGTGCTTTAGTCCCCCTCTCCCTCTTTTTGGACAGTCTGCGTGCGTATGGGTCGGTGACGGTGTGGCTGTCTCTACCTAGGTAACAGTTGCCTGGTTTGATATAAAATTTACTGATTCACGCTCTCGTTTTGATAGGTTACCCCGCTCCTTAATCCGTTTTGGTTTGTTTTTAATCGGCCAAAGGTCTGATTGATTCTTTTGTTGTTTTGAAAAAATGACATCTTCACGACATCAGGCCGAAATTGACACCGAAACGTCGAATCGAATGCGGCCGTGCAACATTTCTGCCGTCTCGTCTCGACATCGTGCTGATTCCGATTTCCCACTGCGGCTACCTGCTGCAGCACCTCACAGCAGCGCGACCCGGGGGCCGCCGTGGGGCGCCGCGCAGCCCCCCTCGAGGACCCCGTCGTCGAGGACCCCGGTAACTCTAGACGGGCGCGGGGCGCGCGCGGCCGTCTGCTGTCAATGCATCGGAATGTAGGTCATGGAGGGGTCTGGTCCACCCCAACGGTCCCCTAGGGCGGTAAGCCGAGCGGGGCCCGGCTGGGGTGGCCGAGGGAGGACTCCTCGGTGGACTCGGGCCCAGGGAGGTGAGCCCCCCGGGCCCCGGGCGTCCAACAATAACAATACAACCTCTCGTAGGTCCTTGGCGGCGGCGCGCGGGGCGGAGGAGGCCCCTCTCGGCGGTGCCCCGCGGGGCTCCATAGAGACGTGGGGCCCTCTTCTTTATTGAAATGTAGCACCTCGCGCCCCGCCCCGCCACGCCCCGGCCCGGCCAGCAGGGACACCCGACCGAGGCGATGATGACTTTAGGGGTAATTCGTTTCTGATCTGGTCGGGCCACCTGTGCGCCGTGTGCAGCCGGGGGGTATCTACCCTCATGTGTGTGTGTGTGTGCGTGGAGGTGGAGGAGGGGGGGGATATGAGGAAAAGGACAGGGGGTCGAATAGCGGAACAAGCTAAGGTATGAACGAGAAAGGAAGGTTGAGACACCAAAGGCTGTGAGGTCATATAAGATTGAGGGAGTACATGTATCGTTTTGAAATGCTAGAATAATGCCACCAAAGCCTGCTTTCCGTTATTTGGGAGACTGGCGGTTTATTAAATCTACGTAAAGCTAAAATCACAGTGGTAAATTCCGTCGCCGGGGCGTTCGGCTCACAGCTCGTCCCTGGTGGGGGGGTCGGACGCGGCGAACGCCAGGTTGACGGGGAGGTCCCTCCAGAACGCCACCCTCTCGGGCTCGTAGCCGCTCCTCATACTGCTCTTCCCCGCCTCGGGCAGGTGGATGTACTCGGGCTGCAAGGCGTTCTGCACCGGCCGCCACGAGCCGTCCCTGGTGGGCACCCTGCGGACGAGATAGAGAGAGTGTGTGTGTGAGAGTCATGTGGTAGTGGTGGTGGTGGTCGTGGTGGTCGTGGTGGTGGTGGTGGTGGCCGCTGGGCGGCCCAGCCACCCGCCCACCCGGGGCGCTCGATGGGTTGCCTGCCGCGCAGGCGCTGTGGCCGCGGGGAGAGAGTGGGACTCACCCGGTGGACGCGAACGTGACGATCGCGTCGATGAGCTCCTTGCCGATGGCTTTATCGGCCGCCGACTGCTCGCCGGGGAGCATCGACTGCAGCGGGAACATGAGCAGCAGGTCGTCCCCGTGGCACATGGCTGCCAAATAACCAAGCGAAAAAAAAAAAAACAATTGCCTTTACTGTGTGTCGTGTGTGTTTTTGAAAATCGAAGGCACCGCAGAGAGAGAGAGAGAAAAAAAAATGTGAGAGTGCAATGAACAGTAGTGGAAATCACCTGAACCCGCTTCTTCCGCGCCGAACGCGACGGCGAAACTCCGCTTGCTGAGGTAGGCCAGGTCGTACAGGTAAACGGGAGACGTGGCCGAGGACTGCTTCTGGATCTTGACCGACTCCAGGATCGAGCAGATAAAGAAATGGTCTGAGAACATCTGTCGTTTCGCAGAAGATAGTACAAAAGTCAGTGTTTGTTTTGAAAACAAGGAAAGAAGCGTTCAAGGAAATCTTATTTTCGCATCGTAATAAAAATTGAACTTACTTTAGTGAGGTCCCACTTAGTCGTCTGGTCGATCGCGCTGTCGTTAAAGTAGAATTTGCGGATCTTATTGAAGATTGCATTGTTGATGCTTTTGTCCAAGTTTTTGGAGTGGAAGATGATTGGGGCGATGTCGACGAACTTCTCGTCGAGTTCTTTCTGTAGCTTAGGGTCCGTGATGATGGCTGAAATAAGAACCGCCGCATTTGATAATAAAAAAAAGAACACACACAAAAATAGTTTCTTCTCTGATTTTAAACCACGTATATAACTCTCAAAGCAACACAATGTTTTCTTGAAGAAAAAAAACAAAAAAAAACTCAAGTGTTGCCGTGAAAAATGTGAACTTTATCAAGTAAGTATGAAAATAAAATCCTCGATACGAAGAAATCTTAGGCACGGAAAAAAATCTTTCACATTAAATAACATTTTTAAGCGAAGTAAACAGTTTCTTATTCGAAGAAAAATATTCTTCTTCCAGAAGAAACCAAAGTGCGTACATGGTGCGTACTCGCCGTACTCGAACAAATACCTCCGGTAGAGACAGTCTTGGGGACTGTCTACAAATTCTTTACTTATTCGATGAAAACTTTGCGACAACGCTTGAATAAAAAGACTACTTACGGGCGGCGGCGACGCAGCCCTCGTGCGACACGAAGCCCATGACGAGCGGCACGCTGGGGGGCGTGGCGGCCAGGGCGGCCGCGGGGTGCCGGTCGAGGAAGGCGCCCGGGCCGGCCGGCTCGGCCGTCACCGTGAAGGGACACATGGGGTGCGCGCCCCACTCGTACAGCGCCAGGTCCGTGCTGATGATGTCCTCGGCCGACTTGCCCATCAGGCACTCGCGGAGCGCCTCGCTGCCGGAGTCCGTCGGGCAGCCCACCGCGACGGCGACCTTGGCGGCGAACTCGGCGGCCACGCGCGGGGGGCGGAAGGCCCAGGGGCTGAGGGCCGAGCCGCTCATGGCGATGGCGCCGTGGAACAGCCCTATGCGCAGGTTGGAGCCAAAGTCACGTCATGAGGAAACGACAAACTGTGGGTCGAAGGGGGAGGCATTTTACCTAAATCGATCTCGTGCCAGAAATGCATGATGGGACAAAATGTAACAAAGCCTTGGCATTGGCCGGAGAAAGTTCTCTTTATTAAAATGTAAATAAGATTCGATCTTTAGAAGGTTTGGGTGTTATAAACGAACTGACAGAAGGCTTCTGTCAGAAGCTGTAGGCGTGCGGGCGAGTTTGCCACCCGACCAATGCGCCACATTGCCTTGTAGCCGCGAGCAAGTTCACTGCAAATCTGGGGTGTCTAGCACCTGGGTGACCTAAAGCCGAGCATGACCCACATGGGGAAAAATTCTTAGCTGTGCAGCTAAAACCAATAGCTAAAGAGGGGTAATTAATTATTTATCTAAGTATCTAAAGAACTTATAGCTATGGTTATCTACATCGCTAAATTTTGTGTTGCAGAAAATTTTAGCTGCAGAGCTAAATAATAAGATTCCACATGTTTAGCTAATGTTTAACCTGTAGCTAAACTTTATTTCTAAGGCGTGTCATGGGGTTCCTGGGCCACCTCGACCGACAGCTCTGCCCTGCCCTTACCCTTGGCCAGCGGCGATATCGTGAGGTGGTGCACCGACCCTGCACCCGCGCTCTCGCCGAAGATGGTGACCTTGTCGGCGTCACCGCCGAACGCCCGGATGTTCTCACGCACCCACCGCAGCGCCTGCACCTGGTCCTTCATGCCGAAGTTGCCGGCGATGACGCCGTCGCCGGTGCTCAGGAACCCTGCGAAAGAAAGGCGCAAACCAAGTAAGTTTCCAGCAGCTCCAATGATATAAGGGACCGCCCGGAAAGTAGATCCGTTCTCAGGTTCGTTCTCGGCAAATATTACTGGAGCTCGGCGCCTGCGAGACTCGGGCTAGGCCACCCCGCAGTACCCACACGCACTGCAGTAAAGTTGTTGCCTACCCAACAGGCGCTACGAGAGCTTGCAACTTTCGTTACGACCATATGACGGACGACGGACGTACTTTCTGGCCGATCCCTAATAGGAACGTGTCTAGGGTTGGAAGGCCTGGAAAGTTTCCGGAAAACTTCAGGAAAATTTCTGGAAAGGACGGAAAATTTCCGGGGATAATGAAAATTTTTCTAGATTTTGGAAAGTTTTCCGTTATTTACCGTACATTTTCGGAAATTTTCCGGAAAATTTGGGAAATTCCCAACCCTAAACGTGTCTGCCTTTTCCTCCCAGCCCGCGAGCCAGGTTTACAGCAGAGACCTACCGAGCGGGCCGAGGCGGTAGTTGAAGGTGACGAGGATCACGTCCCGCTCCAGGAGGAACTCGGGCCCGTACTCGTGGCTGACCCCGGCAAAGAAGCCGCCGCCGTGGACCCACGCCAGGACGGGGAGAGGCTGGGCGCGGGACACGGTCTGCGGAGAACAAGAGTTGTTGCTTGGGTGCGGGTGGGTGTGAGCGAGGGGTCCTTCACTCAAAAAAATCGGGGTACACCCTTCGAAAAAATCACGAAAAAATCAGGAAAAAAATCAACGAAAAGGCAGAATAAATCAGAAAAAAATCAGAAAAGATCAGAAAAAGTCAAGAAAAAAACAGAAAAATTGGTGTACACTAGAATCGACTAGAATTTATAGTGAAGGACTCCTCGGGTGTGCCTGTCGCCTACCATGGCGCCTACGGGTCGAGCGAGTAGGCGACCCGCCCGCGCGCAGGAGGCTCGGTGTACGGCACTGGTTAATCAGCCACCTGACACGGCTCTTTGCGCCGCCCCGAGTCCTCACGAAAGGGTCATTAGTCGATCTGGAGAGCATATCGCAATTTCCTGAAAAAAATGTTGTCTCTGCGTGTCTTGGTCTGACCATATGCAGACCCCGCAATCATACGACACGCCGCAGGAGGGAATCACACACGAAAGGTTCGGATTGGAATGGTCGGTATACGTCTGTGTTTATAGACGAGGAAAGAAAAAATGGGGAAAAAAGGGGGCGGGCATAAAGTTGTAATAGTTAGCGTGGCGATAGTTGTTAGTTTAGTCCGCGTGTATCTTCATTGCACACGCGAGTCGCGGCGACGCTGGCCAACAATTGTCCTCGCCGCCCCCGCCATCACGGAAAATAAAATGTTTCGTTAGAATCGCTCACTACAGTGGCCTATATACTTGGTTGTCTGCTCCGCTAAGCAGTAGAACAAATACTTTTTCATGCAGCCTTAGCATCAATTGAATAAACAGCTCTCCTAACTTTCTATTATTTTTTTTAAAAAATATTCCTTGAACATTTATAGTAGCACTCGTAAGGAAGTGATTCTTACCTCAGGGGCGTACACGTTGATAAAGAGGCAGTCCTCGCTGCCCTCCAGGTGGGCGACTTTCAGGAAGATGTTCCTCTGCAGACACATGGAGCCGGGCCGGTCCGCCACCCGCACCTCGGACCACGGCGCCGCGGCCACGGGCGACTGTGGGACCGACATGAAAGTTTCACCAGAAAACAAAAGTAAATTCAGTTCAAGTTCAAGTACTTTCAAGCCGTTGAGGGGCCGGCCGACCTCTTAAAGTTTGAAATTTCCAGAAAAGTTTTTTTTTTTAGGAAAAAGTTTTTAATTTTGACAGGTTTTTTTTTTTCGTTTTTTTGTTTTTGTTTTTGTTTTAGGCTTTTATTTTGTAATCCGTACCTGAAACCGCAGCGGTCCGACGGGCGGCGCCGCGTAGGGGATGCCCTCGAAGGCGGCGATGGGCCTGCCGCTGGTGGTGGCGGTCCACTTGCCGCGCAGCGGACCCGCGGGGGGCTGCGCCTCGGGCGGCGCGGAGGCCGAGGCAGCGGCGGCCAGCAGGGCGGCCACGAGGAGCGCGGCGGGACCTGCGCGGGTGTTATTTCAGTTCAAGTTTGGTTAAACTGCTGCTTTTATTTACTTTGTTGCGGGTCAAAGCGGCCTCGCCTCGTCGCGTGCTCGCCTCAGGTTTGTTTTCCTTATTGTAGATTACTAAAAATAATTTTCAAGCATTTGTCGTCGTACGAATTACAAAATACTTGTTCTTCCGTCGCTTACGAACAAATAGTGTGTGATGCAAAAGAACTAGTTTGTGTACGGTGATTTTATTGAGCTTGCAAAGAAATGCTTGTAATACGGAAGGAATATTTATCCGTAAACGCAAGAACAAAGAATGAGACAGTAAACCATTCAGGAAAAGCTGAATAAATAAAGAAGACGGAAACCACATTTAATAACATGATGACTTCCTTTTCCTTGTCGCACCGCACTCATCTCCTTTCTCGCTTTTCCGGAATCATAGTTCGGAACGTTGATAAAAATTTAGTTCGTATAAGCAGTCTGCGATGAGCTTGTCGGTGGAGGCCCCCCCCCCCTCCCTCTTGCCTGCTGAGCATTCAGATTCGCTGATTGCTGCTGAATGCGCACCTGCGTGCTCACGAACACCGTGGCTGCTACAATGAAGCATTTCGTTAACACCTTTTCAGACAAAACACTGAACTTGAGGGTACTGTACTCAGGCGCGGTCCAAGGTCCGGCTGACAGGGGGGCGGCGCACCATGGGTTGCCTGCTTACAGGGGTTGTGTAGCACAAATTGCCTACCCTTCAGGCGGCTCACTAAGGGACGACGCGCCTAAATGTACTCGAGACCGGCACCGGAAGTAGTCAACAAAGCTGGGACCCCCTCGAGCGCAGCACGGGTGTGGGTGGGGTGGGCAACACACACACACACAACGAGATCTTCGGGGAAGTGAGACATAATTTCTGTGAACGATTAGTGATGAGGAAACCTCACTACTTTTTAAAGAAGTAATATGTGTCTCGTCTGTTGGATCGTAGTGCCAGCGCCCGATAAAGCTTGATCTACCAGACAGCCACACACCTCTCGCTTGTCTTATCTCGCCACCCGCGGCACCACACCAGCTCGCGTGTATCCAGCGACCTACAACCCACAACCTAAGAACGGGGCTCCCTGACTGGCCGACTCACCGGGTGGGTCATGACCAATTGCATTTGGATTGGACGAATTGACCAATCGGGGTTTAGGTTGTAGGTCACGGGATACACCCCTGCCCAACGGCATGGCCACATGATGGCCATGAACCGATGCCAGCAGGAGCTGCTTTTAAACAATACGTACCGACGCTAAGGCCGTTCGCTATTTGTCGTTGTCATACTATTTATTTCCATGCCGTGGAGTTCTCACTGGGGTGCGAGGTGCGGGTGGCCCGGCCGGGCGGACGGGGGCGTATGGCTCTCTGATAATGCCCCTTAATTTCCCGGCTGATAAGACGGCCGCGTGAGGCTGCTGCGCTGCTGCACTCGCTTCCAAAAGCTTCCAAATGCGTTCAGTTCTTTTGTCCTTCCGCCAGAAGCTCCAGCTCCGCCAGCGGCGAATGAGGAACCTGATTGTTTCGGCCAAGCTCGTCAAACGCGGAGAAAGGGTGTGTTTAGGGTATGTTCTAGTGCAAATCCGAAGATTATTTAACCTTGAATGCTTGATTCAAGATTTTCTCTGACATTGGGTTATTGTGGCCACCCTGTCAGATGAGAGCACGGGTCCGAAAAGACGAACATGCGATAAAAGGGCAGCTAGTGAGCTCCACTCAACCCACAGCCAGTATCTGTAGGTAGGGTGACATCACCTCACAGGACGGATTCTCGGTACCCTACTCTCCATGCCCTTCTATACAAACACTGACTCACCCGTTTGGTCAAGTACCACTCCAGGTGTTAACTGGCTATCAGACTAAACGACCTCGCAATAAAAACAATAAATCGAGGACTCGAGGACTCATTTCGTGCAACCCGGCTCACCCCTTAAAAAGGTCACGATGCTTGAACCATAATCCTAGATACACTGTAAAAGCTAAACAGGACAATTTGCCAAGTCCCCCGATGTAGGGGTATCGTTAACTGTTTAATGTGGACTAAAATCACCCTTCATACGGGAAATCACTAAGTACCCCTTGACGGGGTTGACGGGGTGCCTTACTGCATGGTGTTTGCAAACTACTTGTCACCGGGCGTTGTCCTTGTCGAGCCGGGCGGCCCCACGGCGGTAGAGTACTCACTCATGCCTCTGGTAGCGCAGCGGATGCTGGAAGCGATGTCTGGTCTGCCGGCGACCTGCGACGACTGAGCTGATCGAGTGTACTGTCACTGACAATCATTGACACTGGCCGCCGGCGCCCGAGGCGATGCCGCCGCCTGCGCCTGCCGACCCCGCGGCGCGTCGCAAAGGAGGGGGAGCCCCCCACCCCCCCCCCTCCGACCCCGCGGCGCGTCGCAAAGGAGGGGGAGCCCCCCACCCCCCCCCCTCCTCGACCGGCAACTTTACCTTCGAACGTCGGCGCCCATCGGCAAACGGACCCTCTCACTCTGGCACTTGTGCCCCTTGTGCCTTTGTAGTCGCCAGTGGTGGGCTCGAACAGCCTGCGAGAGCGGTCGACTTGGACGCGTCCTTCGACTATCATCCACACGCCGTCCACAACGTCCACAACACTCCACACCAAGGCCAAAGCCAGAACGGCCGGCCGGCCGGTTGTCGCTTGTCGCGGGTCGCGGGTCGCCGTGGCCCCGTGGACCACATATGTAAACGCTGCGTCATGCCAGTCATGCCTCGTCACACAGTACAGTACTTCTGTGTTTGTGCATAAGAATAAGATAGAAGACCAAATTTCTCCCCCCCCTCCCCCTTTCTGAATGCTCACACACACCACACCTTGTCCGCACACCACACCTTGTCCGGATGCCTAAAAAAAAAACAAGCAGAGTGTTTTTCCCTAAATAATAATTTATTTATTCCGTTCACAGACATGTTTTTGATGGTCGGCGAACCCCTGGGAGGTCCTGGAGATCCTGGAAGTCCTGGAGGAGGCTGACCTCACTACTTCTTCCTCCGCCGGGTGGCCCGCACGCGCCGCTCCTCCTGCAGCTGGCCCTGGAGCGCTTCCTGCCGCAGGCTGTCCTCCACGGCGACCAGCTCCTGCAGGGCGAGCGCGTGCAGCCGGCCCTCGGGCGAGTCCGGCGGCTCGAGCTGCAGGTGCTCCAGGGAGGCACGCAGCAGCGCCCGCGCTCGCTCCAGGTCGCCGCCGGCCAGCGCCACGGCCACGTGCATCTCGTGCAGCGCGATGCCTGCAAGAGGGAGAGGATAGAGGGGGGGGGGGGAATTAACACCTGTCGAGTTCAAACTGTACATCAGCAGCACTACTTGGCTCGCCACGGGTCCAGCAGCGGTCAGCAGCGTCTCCGTCCGAGCCGAGGTTCGAGTGTTTTGTATTTTGCGCTCACCGACCTTGAAGCACCTCAGCACCTCTTAGTCGACTGCCCGAAACTCGAGTCCAAATTCATTTTCCATATGGACAGCGAAAGAGAATATGGAGAATCGGCTGAATGTGCCTCTAGAGTGGTGTCACATGGTGCATCGGTGCCCATGGTGGTGTTTGGACTCGGCGCTCCACTCACCTTTGAGCCGCGACAGGTGTCCGGGCTGCAGCAGCTCCAGCACGTCCAGGATCTCCTGGCACAGCTCCTGCATCCTGGCGAGCGCGTGCGCGGCGGGGCGCCGCGCGGCCAGCGCGTGGTCGCGGTACAGCGCGACGAGCACCTGCTTGGCGGCCAGCTGCAGCGCGTGCCGCGGGTGCAGGGTGCGCGACAGGTGCGCGAGCAGCGCCTCGAGGCCGCGCGCGTCCAGGTCGTCGCCGAGGCGCGCCGCCTCCCACGCCTCGGCGCAGCGCAGCACCGCGGACTCGGCGGCGCGCGCCGCCATCCCGCGCCCGCAGCTCGTGCACCTCCAGGGGACCGCCGCCGTGGCCGTCGGCGACCCCGCCGACGCCCTCTTGGGTGACCCCTCAGGTGACCCCTGTGGTGACGCGGCGGGCGGACACTCCTGGAGTTTTCCCTCGAGCACGCCTTCCTGAGGTCCCTTTTTGCCGGCTTTTGCCTGATTCGAAGACTTCTTCTTTGAGTTGTGAACCTCCTGCTTTGCCGCGGGCGTGGGCCGGGGCACCTCCCCTTTGGGCACTTCCTGCGCGGGGTGCTTCCCACCCTTGCGACGTCCTTTCGTACCCTTGGCTGAGGCGGCCGCGGGTGCCGGTGTGGTTGAGGCCGGCGCGGGTGCCTTGAGAAGGTCACCCTGTGGGGTCGGGCTGGGTGCCGTGGCCTCGGGCGTCCGCGCGGTCGGCGGGGTGGTGGTGGCTGCCCGCGGCGGCCGCTTGGCCACGCGGATGGAGCAGGACGCCGGGAGGGTCGCGACGCCGGGGGGCAGGGCCCGGACGGTGCGCTCCGGGGCGGCGGGCGCGCCCTCCTGCTGGGCGTTGTGCACGGGCGGCACCACGAGCCCGGTCAGGCAGTGCGGGCACCACAGCGAGCCCAGGTGCGTGCCGCACTCGCTGGGGTCGCTGCAGCGCGCGCACGAGCACTCGAAGTACTTGCCCTCGCGCAGGTGCTCCTGGCGGCGGGCCGTACTCTCCAGCAGCTCGCAGTAGTTGTACTGGACGGGCGTGGCGCGCGGCACGGCGCAGCTGGCGCGCACCTGCAGCTGCAGGTTGTCGTCCACGGACAGCTGGCAGTTGGGCACGCAGCTGTGCGCCATCATGGCGGCGCGGAGGAACACGGCCCGGAGCGGCTCCCCCGCCGACCCCGCCGCCGCCGGCCCCCGCACCTCGAAGCTGTTCACGTCCAGGATGCCGCAGATGCGCTGCACCAGCTCGTCCTCGGACCCGTCCGCCGGCACGACCCCGGCAGCGCGCAGCACCTGCAGGTGTGGGACCGGGAATAGGGGCTTCATTCACAATACTATGGCAGGGGAATGAGTATTGGCAACCTCCGCCAGGGAAAGGTAAGGTGATATAGATCTATATCACCTTAGGGAAAGGGGGTCTTTAGCAAGGTGACTTCAGTTCAAACTGGCCGCACCTCGACGACTTGGCTCTGGCGGTCACTCCAGACGGCCGTCCCGCGCCGCTGGTCCAGGTGCGCCTCCAGCTCCAGGAACGTTGTCCAGCCGTCGAGGCCGGAGCGGACTCCGAGCAGGCACCGCAGCGGCAGCACGGCCGCGGGCGGCAGGGTCACCGTCGCTGCGGGGGTCACAGGTCACGGGTCAGACACCCCGAGAGAGGACTAGTTTCGTGTTCAAAGTACTACAGTACGAACCTTTCCTGAGCGCCTTGCACTCCCATTGCGCGTGGGCGGCCAGTTTCTCGCAGTCGGCGTCGCAGACGGGCGCGCCGCAGGCGCTGCAGCTGGCGCCGCCGGTCAGGGGTGGCAGGGGGCAGTGGCAGCCCAGGCAGACGGGGCGCGAGGAGTCGGCCCGCGGGCCCACCACCAGCGGCCACTCGCGAACCAGCACCGTGCCGGGCTGCACCGCCCGGGACGTGGCGAGGAACCTGCGGGTGGCGAACGGGGCCGTGAGCAGGGGGAGTACACAAGTCTTGGGTACTATGTGCCTCACCCACCCACCAGCAGCGCGGCTTGTGCTGAGGCCAATGCTCGCGCTGGTGCTCCCTGCCGCAGGAGGTCCTCGAGGCTCTCACCCTTACTCACCTGCCTAGGCGCTCGTCGGCCTGCAGCGCGCAGGGGAAGCAGCCCGCCTTGTGCTGAGGCCAGTGCTCGCGCTGGTGCTCCTTGCTGCAGTACGCCGCTACGCCGCAGTTGGCGCACACGCTGGCCGCCGCCGCGCCGCAGCCGGCGCTCGCGCACTGCATGACGACCATGATCACGGCAGCATCCCGGGCAGCAGCAGCAGCAAAGCTCTGAGCAGGCTGCCGGCGAGGCCTCGGGGCGCGACGACGCGGTGGTGCGGGCTCTGCGGCTCACTGGCGCCGGCCCACTGACGCCATCCCCAGCCCCGCGCATGCTCCGCCCCCCCTGTATTTATAGCTGGGGCTAGCGGGGGGGACGGGACCCCCGAGCTTCCACCCCGACGGCCAACCGGTGTCGTTCACATCGTCTCTCGCTACCGACTTTGTCATACAGCTTACCAACAGCATATTGTCAGAATACAGTGAAGATTTTTTGTCATTGTGCTTCAGATGTGTCCAACACTCTTTTGCGTAATGAGGATGTATATTGAATAATTGGACCGAAGGGGGAGAGCAGTAAATAATGCTGAGGCCACGTATACATACACAAAATTGTAAGTTTCAAAAATTACTTTAATTTTTGATGAACAGGATGGAAAACAGTAGGAACTGCTCTGAATGGATGCAAGCAATGCTACTTTTCAACATTACACTGCAATTCACTATAGCTACAGAAAATAATAGAAAATATAAATGGAGTGGATTCACAATTCGACAATGATTGGACTACAGAAAGTGATTTAAATTTTGATTCATCGATCAGGCTGACTTAAATCACATTGTTTCTTTCTTTTGACTAAAGGAAACAAAAATACATCTATGACAAACAATTGTGATTCTAAATTTGAGGAAGGATAGGAAAGTAACAGGTACTAATAAAATCCCCCATAAGTCTTATAGGAGGGAAGAGAATAACAATATTTAACAGGGGGCAAAACATGACTTGAGCCTATAACAAAAAACGTCTATCGTCAATTACAGCTAAAATGCAGATCAACATTCCACATTCAAAGAGACTGACAAATTGTAAAGAGTAGTGAGAAATTGATGCATTACCTGGCTCAAAAGAAATCCTTACACTCATGATCAAACCACACACATACACGCACACACGCACAACCGCAACAACAATAAATTAATCTTGTTAGACATAGCTAGCTTTAAAATTGTACACTAAGAAATGTCAAGGCTTCTTAAAAATTCATATGGAAGGGCAAAAATCAGACTGCAGTGCCATTTCAAACAGTTTAACTACAGACCACTACAGGTCTAAATTACTACATATTTGTATGTGATGTATAGCTCTGAGCTAGAAAGAAGGTTTTCACTATAATATTTAGAAGTAAAAGAACTGAACATGACATCTGGTACAAAGAATGTTGCATTACACCTCATTTTCTGCTTTTCTCAGTAGAGCAAAACAATAGTGATAAAGAAACTACCTATTTATAGAGGGAATAAGTTCAGTCATTTATCAAAGCTGACACGCTGAGTTGTCAGTCCAGTAATGAGCAATTTGACTGGACAAGGAATAGAAAACAATCCATCATTTGAAATGACTAAGTGACGTATGAACTGCAAGCAACTGCTGCCTTCTTCCTCGAACTGGTCTCAAATCTCCCTACATTGATGGTAAATACTTGCTCTATTTTGAAAAATCTCTGAATAAATTTTGTATTGTCTGGAATTAATGGTCTACACAGTATCAGTAGGGAGACTTGTGCAGCTTAATCAAGCTGAAGACCAGAGAGGCGTGCTAGAACTCAGGAAGGTAATTCCGCTCCATTTGCTTCTTGAGACTTCATAACATCAGGGAGATCAGGTGGTGCTGAGTAAGGAGTCATATCCAATTGTTCAAAGCTGCCGTCTTCCCCTCTGAAAACATTAAAAACCCTTAAGTGACCCAATTCAATCCAAGAATAAAATACCATGAAAAAAATTGTTTAGTTCTCACCTCACAGCAAGTCCAATTTGAGCTGGACTTTGAGCTTTGGCAGAGCTGGCTGTTAGCCCATAGTCTAGAAGGGCTTGGTGGTCCACCATTTCGACATTATCCTTGTTGAAAAGTTGCTGATCTTCAGGCGCAACCTTGATGATACCTGAAAAATATATACAGTACAGGTTTGTTGCTAGTATAAAAAATATTTGAATATAAGAAAACATAGTATATTTGTTCCAGAAATACCTTCGATCATTTTCTTTAGCTCAAGGACTGTGGTAGCATCCTTGGCATCTGTAAATATAGTCAGCTTTTTCCTCCTGATCATGAGAAACACGTCCTGAAAAATAACAAAACCACATATGTAAGAATACGAGAGGTTTCCAAAATTTACTTGTCTCTCAGTTGTAAAGGTGACAATCAGGTGTCAACAATTGATGCTGGTATATTAAAGGAAAGAGTGGCCAAAAACTAAAAACCCACCAAAACGTTTGATAGGTATGGAAATCATCTTTGCTGGATTGAAAACTGTACCTAAAAGTTAATCAGAGTATACAATGACACCTAACCCTACTAATGTGTTTAAGACTTAGCAGACAACCCCGAGTCACATTGCCACAAAAAATGAGCCAGATAATTTACTCAAATTTTAGAGAACATGGAAGTGTGGAGCAGACTAGACTTGAACGTGCGTATCCATGCAAACCAATAGTCTGTAAAGTATAAACCCTAACATCTTTCAATAATCCGTTCTTGTGACTGCGAGGGGCCAATGCCGGTGATGATCAAGAAGTCCAGAGAAACCTTCGCTTACCATGTTTACTCCGGTGAACGACCTGCTTGGTCGGCTGCCCGAGGGGGACGCCACACCTAGGGCCGCTGCCGCTACGCGACCGGGATTGGACAGTTCGAACGGTTCAGTTTACGTTACGAGGGTCAAAAAGTTCAAGTTCAATCAGTTCGAGCAGCCAGCCTATCGTTCGTTGGGGTTGGGGCGGGCGCGGCGCGGGGCGGGGGTG